AGTTTTCATTTAAATTTACTTTAGAGGGTCTAAAAGCTTTCTGTAAGGTTTCTGTTTTTTTTTTCAATTTTAAACTATCCGAGGACAAAAACTCCTGGGATGTCATTTAAATTTTCAATTTCATCGTAGTCATTCAAAATCTTCACGTTATCGTAAATATTTAGGCGGGAAAAAAACATATGAAAAAATAATTGCGATGTGATTATCAAATTTTTTCTCCTTTCTAGTTGTATTCTGTATTGTTAGTAACACTTATGCGAAATATTATATTTTATCCTGATCCGAATGATTACCAGTTTATTGACATTTCAAACAAGAGGGTATCTCTCATCATTAATTTACTATCAAATATAAAAACGTATTTACATTACAATGTGCATGGGTACTGAAAGGGTTAAATATAAAATATATATTATTAAAAGTAATATTTATTCTTTATATAGTAAGTGGTAAACTTTGAACAAACCTCAGAAGAAGATGTTGTGTTAGGCTGTGTTATGAAAAACTGTCATTCGCCTAGTTTTTGAAATTATTTCTGTATTTTTTTTTATCTTTTTTTTTTTTTTTTGCCAATTTACGTTTATCTGCACCACTCATATAAAATCGCTTTAATTTATGACAATCTCCTTCTATTTTTAAGTTATAACACTATTCATTAGTTAATAACTTATAATATAAGAAACAACTAGACTACTGGAGTCTGTAACTATTGTAGGTATACACAGCTAATATTAACAAACGTCTGACTTGCAATAAGTGCAACGAACAAATAACAAATTACCAAAGACGGATCGTCTGTAAAGTGTATTTTATGATATTTCCAAAAACTAATTTCATATTTCTGACGGTAAATTATTGTCGTTAACCATCGTGTTTACTATAACGTTTAGGTGAATAATTCCAGGCCCACATGTGTATACTAAGAAACACATTTACCAATATTCTTACAATCGAAGGTGCACATGGGCGGTATAACAACTTATTTTATCTAGATTTTTAGACACCGTTCATTGTTAATGAACGCGAATACATCTATTATTAGTTAGTAAAATTAAATTTTTGAAATGTCCAAATAAAGTTCAATATTATTTAATTCAATATATGTATATACAAATAAATTTTTTTTTCTGTATCCTAATTTAAATATAAAATTGTGGGGGACCCTGGGCTGCAGCCCACTCAGTCCTCGTCTAAATCCGGCCCTACAAAACAACAACTGCCCGTTTGGACCTTATCAGGTATATTGATGTTTCCTTTTTTTTTTTCACGACATATGGTAGCCTAAGTCTTCTGCTAAAATAATAATCTAGGTATGTACCAAATTTCATTAAAATCGGTTAAGTAGTACATAGCCAATTACGTAATTTTTATATTAACTGTAACAAATATTCGACTTATTCAATAGATTTTTTAATATTTTTTTTTCATACAAAATTGTCCAGATAACTACAAATACACAAAACAAATAGTTAAGTTGGTCAAGCCATTTTTGAGTTTTTTTCTTTTATACTTGGGGAAAATGAATTTATAAATATATATACATATATAGATTAATAATATATATATATATATATATATATATATATATTAGTTTAATTTTTAAATAAATAATAATATTGATTTTACATATTTTTACTCATTTGCATCACCTTTCTATTTTTGTTTTTCTGATTCAAGTACCAATATACAATGTTATGTTAGTTTTAATGAATTGTAATTGGTTCGGTATATGTAAGTAGATTATTATAATATAATACATAATGAATGTAGTAGATTACGCTATCAAACTATAACTTTATGGTGCGTACATATTAATGAGGATTGTATGACCGATAATGGTTATGGAATATTGTTATTTACAGTAAGTGCTTTTAAGACTGAGAAAAAAAAACAGATAAGAGAATTACTAAATGAGTTTAAATTTGATATAAAACTTGAAAGTGTGTCGGCGATTTTGTGTTCCGTATATTAGTTTTTATTATTGATAGCTTCCGCGTAAGATCTGATCATAGAATGGGTATTTTAATCAGGATCTATGACTGGAGGAACTATTGAAACGGTTTTTTTGAATGTTGCTATGTACATTGAGCTATCTTTGAAGTTGGCCGTGTGGTCCTTGTTACAGAGGGCACATTTTGCGGGATTGTGGTGGTCCTCGCAGCACTCATTAGTGGGGTGGTTTTTTCAAAATGAAACGTATCTAGGTTGGTGGTAGAAATTATTCATCGTGTGTTTTTAGGGTTGACAGTCATAACATTATGTATAAGTACATAAATGTTAATATTCACATTATTGTTATAGTAAATGCTCCTCAACTTAACTAAAAGGTACGTTTCATTTATAAATACTTATATATAAATTTATAATTTACAATTATAAAATGTATTCATAATCGAAAAGTCAAAAAAGGCATATGGATTTGAATAATTTGTAAATAAATGTAAAGATTAATCCATTAGTATATACATAAATTAATATGTTTAATTATTGACGTAGTTAACAGAGAAAGAGAGGTATTGTGAAATCATTGAAAAATAATTGACAGGGTAATGTATTTGTATACACGGGGGAACGTAAAGTTATTTATTTGGAATAAGAGAACTTCAAAAGCATTTTACTTATTATTTTATACGGCGAAAAGAAAACTTCTGAATAAGATTGAAAATAAAGTTGCAAGCTGTACAATCGTAAATACGAAACGATTTTATTTTGTTAGAATTGATCTCAAACAGAAACTTTTGTATACTTGGGAAATTTTTCTGTAGCTTTAAAAAATAAATAAATAAATAAACGGATATAAATAAAAATATAACGATGTTCACACCTAGAGATTATTTTAATTAATTTTTTTTCCAAACACTTGATTAATATGTTTTTAAAGTTATCATCGATAAAATTATAATGTACACTTTCGATCTTTGTTAAAAGAAACTAAAAAAGTGATAAAATTGTTATTTTAATAATTATTTTATCGTCAAAAACAGATGTAAAAGAAAATATTAACTATTGGACTGATCACCAAGTACGAGGAAATAATATACTTTTCAGCAGTTAAAAGTACACTTTCAGTGAATAAATTGATGCGGGTTTTTTAATTCTTCGCGCCACGGTATTTATTATTATATCGGTTTATTATCCTTATCCTTCTCATTGTTTTACCGTATACGAATTTTCTGCGGATTTTCCGTCAATCAATATATAGATATCGGTCTGGTATCGACGACAGGTCACGTTTAAAAGCCGTGCAGACAACCAAATCGTACGTAGTCTCTTACCTGCGTTGCAGTAGGAATTACCACGGATTGAATTACACTACGTTCCCCCGGGAACCTCGTCGAATGGGGTTGGAGTTTATGTGGCGACCGATGGTACAATAGTCTGAGCATTCCGGCATTGTACCGTTTGTCAGACCGTTGGGGCCCGACCCCCCTTGTTCTCGTTCAATTGTTGCCCAAGTCGAAATCCTTTGTTTTCTTTTTATTGTTACGTATACATTATGTTATTAAGACGGATCTAATTATTTTACAAAATGAACCGTATCGTCGTCGCGACAATCGATTTTTATTATTATATTATATCCAATCATTTAATATCAAACAGTAATTGTTTTCACCTTCATTTATTTGTCAATTACAGCAATTATTTGTCGAATACCGTATGACATTAATTTGTCATAAATCAATAGTCATCCTGTGATTTTCATATTTTTTGTAATTTATGCAAATTAAAATATGTGCATACATAAATTAGTTTAATCTGTTTCGATACCAATACTTTGGATGTATGAATGTCATATATAAATGGCTTAGGTATATTAGGTATACCTTCTCATCATACGAATATGTAGAGTAACTTCTAGTAAAAATCAGTATAAAAGTAACACATAAATCTATATGTCGCGTCACATATTTTAATTCTGTTATTTAGAGTGTTAAAAATGAGAGACAACCTAAAAAAATACATTATTCATAGATTCATATGAGAAACTTTCAAGATATATATACTCGTAAAAGTATTAGTTTTTACATTAAGAAGATGTTTTAAATAAACTCTAGGTTACACTAGTTACCTTAATCATATTAACCATATTAAACATATATAATATAAATATTTAAAATGTATACATGTATTTGGTGTTATTGTGGAATTAATAACTAATCGGTAAGTCGAACGGGTTGGATCAAGACTGAAGATTGTCATAATAATATTATGTGCGGTTGAAAAAATAACGATTTGCATAAAAGTCGTCTAGCGGTACTATAATACGTGCATTTCCATATAATATACTTTATTATTATTATTGTATGGTACACGCGCGTACTAAATAAATAATTTTTTTAGAGGATGTGCTACCGACGCGTATAGCCCCGTAGTCGTATACATAAAACTCTAATTGCGTTCTAACGATAAAATTTACATAACAAAGTAGTTTTGCACATTTTTCGTAAAACATATCCGTAGAAATATATTGTAGACCATATTACACTATATTGTATACGTGTGCAATTATTTTAAGACTTTATCAAACCTAATAAACCGATCAAAATATCATTTTTGTTATTACACACAACGATATGACAACACTCGTTTTTGAACACTATCACGGCGTTGGAGACGATTGCAAGTACGAACGATTAATATTCAATAGTTAATTATTATTATTAATTAAAAATAATTTAATATTTAATAAATGAAAGAATCACTGTTTTCGCGTATTTAATTTCTACCGATCGGTATGTACACTGTTACAATAACGAGATGAACGGGCGAGTGGATAATGGCGTGTGCACTTTAAGAACGTACGAATGATATTAAATGGTTTTTCGGTCGATTTACAGCGCATCAATAGGTTTCGAACGATCATTTTCCAAGAATCATTTCTTCTTTCATCGGATTCAATCGGATTTTCACTTACTTAATTTGGTTTTTTTTTTCAACTTCGGCACATACATTATTATAACCTCGTATCGTATGCGTCGTACAACTAAAAGCGAGCTCACCTGTGCGGGACGGTGGTCGTCGGATGGCTGGGACGAGCGGTCGGTCGGTCTGTGGCAGACGGTGCGTTCACCGACTGCGGTTGGTCGAACGGCGGCAACCCGTCCTCGTCATAGTCGTACCCGTGCATCACGCGATTCATCCGCTGTTGGCCGGCGGTGGCCACGGCCGACCCTTCACTGTTGGTTGGTGGGGAACCGGGACGTCCGTCGCCGCGGGACACGGGCAATGACGGCTGCAGCCGCCGGTTGCGGTGCGGCTGCTGATCCTGGCGCTGCGGCTGGTGCCGACCGTCGTCCTCGTGGTCGGTCGTCGCGGACACCGTAGCGGCTGACGGCGTCTCGGTGTCAGCAGCAGCGGCCACCGCCACCGCCGCTGCCTTGTCGTCGTCGCGATTCATCTCGATCTTCTCGTACCGGTCGAACGGGTCGACGGCGCCAGTGCCCCGGTCCACGCGGTCCACCCCGTACCCGGCCGGGCTGCCCTTGGTGCGGATGGCCAACGCGCACAGGAATATCAGGCAGAAGGACAGCACCAGTATGACACCAACGATGAGCCCGGGCAGCGCGTACCGGTCGGCGGACAGCACTAGCTGCGGTGACCGCTTGATCACGACCACGGTGACGTTGGCCCTCGAGCTGCCCGACCGGTTCTCCAGCTCGCATGCGTAACTGCCGCCATCCTGCGCCGCGGCCGCCACGATGGTCAGGTTGGTGTACCGGCCCTCGGTAACCGGTACGCTGCGGCCGTCCGGGCCCAGCGGCCGGTCGTCGCGCGTCCACCGAGACGACGGCACGGGCACGCCGAACATGCGACACGACACGGTCGCGTTGTCGCCCTCGGTGACCACCACCACCCGGGCTACGGGCACGGGATGCGGGTCGCACGCGAAGTCGTCCAGCTCGAGCTTGTCCCAGGGGATGTGGGCCAGCCGCGCGGGCGTCTTGCACACGGGCGGCGCGCCGTACGGCACGTTGCGCCGGACCATCCACTCGCGGAGCGGTCGAAGCTTGCACGAGCAGTTCCACGGGTTGTCGTTGAGTTGCACGCCCTGCAGCCGGGTCAGCGTGACCACCGTGGACGGTTTCACATCGCGCAGCTGATTGTTGTCCAGCCGCAGCCACTCGAGCGACCGCTCGAGGCCAGCGAACGCGGTGGACTCGAGCAGCGCGACCCGGCACCCGGACACGTCCAGCCGGACCAGCCGGGGCACGTGTGCGAACGCGCCGTTCGGCACCTTCATGATCGGATTGCCGTTGAGCCGGAGCTCCCGGAGCTCGGGCACCGACTCCAGCACCGCGGACGGCACCACCGGTATGCTGTTCTCGCTCAGGTCCAGCTCGACCAGGTTGTTGAGCTTGCGGAACACGTACCGGTCCAGCGCCTTGAGCCGGCAACGGGACAGGTACAGCTTCTGCAGGTTCAGCAGGTCCGCGTCCGCGAACGCGTCCCGGCCCAGCCGGTACAGCGGGTTGCCCGTCAGGTCCAGCAGCTGCGTGCCGTAGTCCAGGTGCCGTGGCACCGCCGTCAGGTTGGCCCCCGCGCAGATGGCCGATTCCTTGCCGCTACGCCACTTACACTCGCACGCCGCCGGGCAATCGGCCCACGCGACACACAGTGCGCTTGCCGAGAGCACCATCACCGCCATCAGGCCGCCGGCCATCGCCTTCGCCGACGACGGCCGCGGCGGCGGTGCCGGCCACCCAAACGCCGGCCAGCACATGCTATCGGCGCGGTACGGCGCCGCGGCCACGCGCTACACCTGCAATCGTCGCTTACGGCCCGTACGGTCATGATGCGGTCCACACGCCGCGACGAAACCTGCAAATCGTAAACGAACACGTTAGTTATGATCGACAGTGTTCTATGAAAAACAGTCGCAGTTAAACTGTTTTGATTAGCGTAATAATATCC